GAGGAAACTGAGGCAAACAAGGTAAAGTGACTTGCCCAGGGTCACATAACTAGTTAAGTGTCCGAGGCCAGATTTGAACTTGGAAGATGAGTCTTCCTGACTCCAGGGTGGTTCTCTATCCTCTGTACCACTCTGAGTTCAAATCTTGCCTCAGAAATTTACTAACTGTGTGATTCTGAACAGGTCACTTAGCCTCTGCCTAACTCAGTTTGCTCATCAGTAAGGTGGGAAGAATAATGGCACCTGTCTCCCAGCGTTGTTGTGAGGATCAAAAGAGGTAATATTTGTAAAGCGCTTTGCAAACCTTAAAGCAATAAGGCTAGTACTATCTAGTCTAATCGCTTCACTTTATAGATGGAGTGACTAAAGCACAAGGAAGCTAAATACTTGTCCCAAGGTCAAGCAGAGGGTAGGCATCAGAGACAGGCCCACCGAACCCAGAACCAATGTGCTTTCCTCTATTCCACCCTGGCCAATACTTTGACAAATCTATGATCTCATTAATGTGGACTTGTCCTTAGACTTTATGTAGCACATTGCTTCACAACACTTTAATATCCTTAGGTGCTAATATGAATTATAGTTCCCCATTATTTGTGCATCATCCCACAGAAGATTGTTCTTGAAGGCAGAGACTTCTGTCCTTTCGTGAACTGTCTCCCTTAGAATAGCACAATGCTCTGTGCGTATAAGCATTTGCTGAATTGCATTGCATTGTTTAGTGACACTGGATTCAATATGCTTTAGTAGCGAAAGTCGGGACTGGAAGTCAGGAGGCCTGACTGCAAGGTCGTCGGGGGCTCTGGGGGATTGGGATTGGATGCTGTCTGAAAGCTCTCCCAGTTCTAAAGCTTTATTTCTTTAGGGCTAGCCCTAAGAACCTAACCACCAGGTATAATACTGTAAGGGAAGAATTCATCCCAGAAACCATACAACTGACACAGCTTAACTTTTAGAAAACAATCTACTAACATGGCTGATGCCAAAATCTGTTTTGCATGACTATACATGTTTGTAATAGGTTTGGTTTTGGGGGCGAAGGGGCTATGGAGGGAGAGAATTTGGAACTGAAAATTTTTAAGTCTCCGTATTAAAAAAAAAGAAGCTAATTTATAAATTGGGGGCTACATATGAGCTAATTATTAACTATATAAATTTAAATTATTATTATTTTTAAATGTTTTTTATTTATTTTAGTTTTCAACATTCACTTTTATAAGATTTTGAGTTCTAAATTTTCCCTTCTCCTTCTCCTTCCCCCCACCCTGCCCAGGGCAGCATGTAATCTGATGTAGGTTATACGTGTACATTCATATTAAACATATTTCCACATTAGTCATGTTGTGAAAGAAGAGTCAGAACAAAAGGGGAAAACCATGAGAAAAAAAGAAAAAAATAGCATGCTTTGATATGCATTTGGACTCCATAGTTGTTTCTCTGGATGTGGATAGCATTTTCCATCATGAGTCTTTTGGAATTGTCTTAGATCATTGCATTGCTGAGAAGATCTAAGTCTATCAAAGTTAGTCATCATGCAATGTTTCTGTTGCTATTTACAATGTTCTCCTGGTTCTGCTCACTTCACTTAGCATCGGTTCATGTAAGTCTTTCCAGGTTTTTCTGAAATCTGCCTGCTCATCATTTCTTATGGAACAATGGCATTGCATTACATTTATATACCACAACGTGTTCAGCCATTCTCCAATTGATGGGCATCCCCTCAATTTCCAATGAATTATTATTATTACCAATCCAGGAGGAAAAAAGGCCTCTGGCTAACCAGTGTTACACTAATATAAAAATATATCAATCATCAGTAACTATTCAACTACCATTATTAAGCACATATAACTGGAATTCACTTGAACCAAATTGTGTGCATACACTTTTTTTGAGTGCTAAGACATTTGAAGAGATGCAATAACTCATTTAGGGCACAAACAGTGGTCCAATATAGTATGTGGAATCCAGAAGTGTATTTGAAAATGCAATCAATATATACTCACCTAGCTTACCTGTCTTCCATCCTGAGGTGTATGCATGTAATTATAGAATAGAATGACAGAATCTCAGTGTTGAAAGAGACTTTATAGGTCAACTAATCCACCTACAGCATCTCTAGAAAGGAAGTCTCTGTTAGAAGGCATCTAGTGATGAGAAACTTACTTCCTATGGAGCAAATCCACTCCACTTTTGGACAAGTCTTATTTATCAGAAATTGTTCCTAATAGTGAACTAAGATCTAGCTTCTTTTACTTTCTAGCACAGTCTCTAGCTCTGTCCTTTGGGGTCAAGCAGAATAAATCTAATTCCTCTTCCATATGACAATACTTCAAATACTTGAAGGCATATATTCCATTACTCCTCCTCCCTCCATCCCAACTCCTTGTTTGATCTATCCTAAATAGTCCCAGTTTCTTTTTTTCTTTTACTTTGAAAAATTATTTATTTGTAACCTTGTTGTCATTTTAAATTTTGAGTTCCAAATTCTCTACCTCCCTTCCACCCCTCCCTTGCCCAGAAGGCAAGCAACATATCAACTATACATATGAAATCATTAACCATATTACAAAAAAGGTAATAAAAATAGAGAAAATTATACTTAAATTTGCATTTAAATTTCATCATTTATCTTTCTCTCTCTGGAGGTGGATAGCATTTTTTCATCATGAGTCCTTTGGAATTGTCTTGAATCATATTGATGGTCGTATTGCCAGAGTAGTGAGATCTTTCACAGCTGATCATCATTACAAAGTTTGCTGTTACTATCCACAATAATCTTCTAGTACTTCTCATTTCACTTTGTATCAGTTCATATAGGTCTTGTCATGCTTTTTGTCTGAAACCACTGCCTGATCATTTCTTATAGCACAACAGCACTTCATTACAATTATATGCCACAACTAGTTCATCCATTTCCCCAATTGATAAGCAACCCATCAGTTTTGAATTCTTTGCCACCTCAAAAAGAGCTATTATTAATCAATTTGTATATATAGGTTCTTTTTCTTTTTCTTTGATTTCTTTGAGGCCTGGACCTAGTGGTGGTATTGCTAGGTCCAAGGGTATGATAGTTTTATAGCCCTTTAAGCATAGTTCCAAATTGTTCTCCAGAAGAGTTGGACTAGTTCACAATTGTACTAACAGTACATTAACGTACCTAATTTTGCCTCCTCCTTTCCAGTATTTGTTATTGTTGATATGTATGAGATGGTACCTCAGAATTGTTTTAATTTGCATTTCTCTAATCAATAGTAATATAGATAATTTTTTCATACGGCTATAGATTGTTTTTATTTCTTCTGAAAACTGCCTGTTCATATCCTTTGACCATATACCAATTGGAAAATGGCTCTTATATTTATAAATTCAGCTCAGTTTTCCACATATTTGAGAAATGAGACCTTCATGAAAGAAACTTGTTGTAAAAATTGTGATATTACTTCATTGTCTATGGTAGCTTTTAGCAAAATGTAGTTTCCCTGATTATATTTTTAATATGGTCTATTTTTGCTTTTGCTTTGTCTGAGATCATGATTGCTACCTCTGCCTTTTTTACTTCAGCTGAAACTTATTAGATGCTGTTCCAGTCCTTTATTTTAACTCTCTGTGTGTTTCTGTTTCAAGTGTGTCTCTTATAGATAATATATTGTTGGATTCTGGTTTCTTATCCATTCTGCTATCTGCTTCTATTTCATGAATGAGCTCATCTCATTCACATTCACAATTATGATTACTAAATGTATATTTCCCTCCATCCCATTTTCTTATATTTCTTCTCCCTCTCTCTCTCTCTCTCTCTCTCTCTCTCTCTCTCTCTCTCTCTCTCTCTCTCTCTCTCTCTCTCTCTCTCTCTCTCTCTCTCTCTCTCTCTCTTTCTCTCTTTATTCTGTCCTTCAAGGTATAATGGTAGTTCGGTATAATGAAAAATGCTCTGGTCCTAGAGTCAGATGCCTTGGGTTCAAAGGCCCACCACACTGGACAAATCTTTTTTTTTGGGGGGGGCACTTAATAGTATTTTTTTTCCAATTATATGTAAACATAATTTTCAACATTCATTTTTGTAAGATTTTGAGTTCCAACTTTTTCACTCATCCTCCCTTCCCTTCTCCTCCCCAAGACAGCAAGCAATCTGATATAGGTTATACATCTACAGTCATGTTAAACTATTTCCACATTAGTCATGCTGTGAAAGAAGAATTAGAACAAAAGGGAAAAACCACGAGAAAGAAAAAACAAAAAATAAAAAAGTGAAAAGAGTATGCTTCAGTCTGCATTCAAACTTCATAGTTCTTTCTCTGGATGTGGAATAGCATTTTCCATCACGAATCTTTTGGAATTGTCTTGGATCATTGTATTGCTGAGAAGACCTAAGTCTATCAAAGCTGATCATTGCACAATGTCGCTGTTACTGTGTACAATGTTCTCCTGGTTCTGCTCATTTCATTCAGCATCAGTTCATGTAAGTCCAGGTTTTTCTGAAATCTACCTGCTTATAATTTCTTATAGAACAATAGTATTCCATTACATTCATACACCATAACTTGTTCAGCTATTGCCCAATTGAGGGGCACCATCATAATTTCTAATTCTTTGCCACCATAAAAAGAGCTATAAATATTTTTGTACTTGTGGGTCCTTTTCCCTTTGTGGACAAATCTTCTAAGCTCTCTGAATTTCAGTTTCTTCATCTGTAATAAGAGAATAATAAAAATATGTAATAACTACTTCAAAAGATTATTGTGTAAAAGCATTTTGTAAACTGAAAGTTTTATTGTTGCCTGTTTCATGGGGTAACATAGCCAAAGAATTAATCCTCAAAGGTTCCAAATTATTGATGATGAGCCATGACACACTGAGGCACACTGGTCCTCAGAAGGGAGATATGGTATGTCATAGGGACCCTACTCAAAGTCTTTTCAGCATGGCGGAAACTACCAGAACTTATCACTTCACTGATAAACCCTTCAAAACCCTTGGGTCATCTTCACACCATAATGAGGCTTTAGATTAGGAATTTCATGGAGGTGATAAATAAATACACATTGTTAGTATTTATCCAGAAAACAAAAGGCTCCTAAAGACTAAAAAGAGATATAACAAAGTCAGTCCACTAAAGCTTTGGTCAACAGAGAGTCCCTTAGTAAAGGCCTTAGGCCTTTACTCAGGGCCTGTTTACTCTTGTGATTCCTTCAACTTTAACATGCTTTATTAGATCAGAGAAGAGTAAAACTAACAAATTAAAAAGAGAGCCCATCCAGAAGTAGGTACCTTAAACATAACAAGATATGACAGATAATAGCAAATGAGGAAACAGAAAAGCTATAAAAAGCAGACACTGGAACTATAGAAACTTAAAGGTCTGGAACCACTTATTATGGGTGCAAATAGCCTTGCACATTTTGATAGGCCCTGAGGCACAACACTGCAGCAAGGCATAAGAACTTAGTCCGAAAGATGACTGTGTGTCACAAAGCTAATGTTGAATTACATTTAGAATACAGTTGAATTTCCATCAAAAGTGATTAAAATACCTCCCACTCTTAAAAAAACCTGCCATTTCAATTACCAGGAAAATTAACGGATATAAAATGGCCCATTCCTTGGCCATGTCTATGAAGAAAGTGTCACTGACCTAGTTTTCAAGTAAAATAACATGTTTCTTTTTATAGATCACATTCATACTCTTAGTCATAGATCAAAGACTGTCTGAATAAACTACTGTTTCTCTTTGACTGGAGTCATCTGCTGGCAACTTTCCACGTACCTAGTGATTTAGGGTAATGAAAATTCCCAAACTCTTGTATGTCAATGTAGCCATCAATTTACACATTCAGCAACAGACCTTAGTCTAGTAAAAACTACCTTTTCCAAATGTGTAATAAGATTTTATTTTGTAAAACTCTTGTCTAAAAATACATCTCTTGAACCTTTAGACATCATCTTAGGAAAGGGTTACAAAAGCAGTCCAGCATGGCATGAAGCATTCTTCATTGATATACATTCCAACATCTTTTCTTATAGAGCATTGGTATTTTTTTAATTTCCCAATTATTATTCTGTATCTGCATACTACTTCAAGAAAACATTTGGATCATATAATTTCTCAGACATAGTGGAAAGAGTAATTGAAGATAAACCAGAGCAAACTTCTCTTTGAGAGTAAGATCATTTAAAGAATCACTAGAAAGTCAAATGTTACATATATAATGACTAACTTGGGGGGAGTAAATAAGCAGAATTACCCAGTCTTTCTACTATGTGATATAAGAGGAAATAAAAGTCATTTCTAACCTGCTTCAGAAAAATTCATTAACTGTAAAACTAAAAAATTGTAAATTTTTTTTTAAAAAAACCTATTAGAACATAAGGTTTTTGAAGGTTTTTTTTTTTCTCATTGCTTATAAAACAGGTACCAACCACAGAAAATAGAGTTCTTTCTATACCAGGTTTTTTTTGTTTTAGTTTTAGTTTTTTTCAGTCCATTACAATGTTGACTGTCTTATCCACAGAAGCTCATGAACTGCTTTGGAAAGAGGGCTAGGTTCAAATAGCAGTTCTAACACGTATTACCTGTGTGCTCCTAGGCAAGCATCTTAATCTCTCTGTTTCTTGATTTCCATACTTTTATATTACTGGGTTGGGCCAGATGACCCCTAAAGTTCCTTCCTAGCTCTCCATCTAAGATTCAATGAACTACTGTTAACATAACCACTTCTTATTCCAGCAGGAGACATTATTCTAGCTCAGATATTCTAAGCTGCTTGCTTCCTTCTTCCTACTGCTGGTCTTTTGACCATCTAACTTCACAATAATGCTTGAGAGTGGGTGGAAGAATTAAAGAGATGGAAGCTAAAGCAAGTAAATGTGGCCATTGGTTGACTTGAAAAAGGTTTGTTTAGGTAGGAAACAGAATTGGGTCTTTTGGTTTCTCTTTTTTTTTCCCCTGTGGTCTGCAGGGATCCATGCTATCCTTCCACTACTTCGAGACAATCGAGAATTGGCCATCCAACGGATGATAAGGAAATTCTTTGATATCATTTTCTAAAGCCTGTCATGGTTATTTCTATCCATAGTACACTACATGGTAAAAGACGATGCATTCTCGTTCTCACAGGTTTCGCTAGTCTGTCTCGAAATGTAGTTTTCTGAATAGATCTTAGAGCAAGAGAAGCCTGATGGCTTATGCTTCCTGCCCACACACCACAGGTCCTTCATGATCTTCAGAAAGTAATTCCTAAATTTCTGCCCAATGAATGCATAAAGCACAGGGTTGAGGCAGCAATGCAGAAAAGCCAGCACTTCTGTGACACTTCTTGTATAAGCTATGAGCTTCTCACTACTGCAGGATCGGAGCCGACCTGTATTGTTGGCCACCACGAGAAGAACCATATTATGGGGCACTTGGCAGACCAAGAAAACAAGAACCACCACAATAATCACCCGGATGGCTTTATGCCGCTTAGAATTGTGAGCCTGCACTAAAGTTTTGACAATGAACATGTAGCAAAATATCATGAACACCAAAGGGATAAAGAAACCAAAGAGAAGCTGGAGAGCTAAGATGAGTATTTTCCATTTGACTGCCTCCGAGGTCGTGTGGTATTTGGCTTCACAGACCTCCCTCCCCTGTGTTGTATATTTTTGGTTGAACATAAAAGTTGAACTAGAGATTATGATTGAGAACAGCCACACCACCAAACATATCATCTTCTTGTATGCCAATGTCCGGGTTCGAAGCCTGAAAGATTTGGTCGCCTGTACTATAGCAATGTATCGGTCCAGGCTGATACAGGTCAAGAGAAGCATTCCACAATTAAAGTTGATGGCATATATACTTGTAGTCAGTTTGCACATAATGTTGCTAAACTTCCATGAGCCTGTAGCATGATTTACAGCCCAGAATGGGAGAGTAAGGATGAATAATATGTCTGCTATGGCCATATTAAAGAGATAGACATCAGTCATGGATTTGGCTTTCTTGTAGAAAGCAAAGGTAATCACCACTAAAATGTTCCCCAGGAGGCCAAAGACACAGATAAAGGAGTAGGCAATTGGTACAAATAACATGGTGAAGTCTCTGACATCCTTCATAAAACAAAACAATCCCTCATCAATGAAATAATCTGTACTGGGAGTGACTGCACTATAATCGTTTAAGTATTCAAAGTTGCTTGAATTCATTGGTTCCTAGAAAGTAAAAAAAGAAAGACAATTAGTTGGAGCATAGCAAGGTGGTATCAGAGGAAACCAAGAATTTTACTCTAAGTCATAAAGCAGACTTACCTCATTCATGGTGGTAACTGGGCTGATTAAATGTATATGGAAATGGGCAAGGACAAATCAGATATGATATCTTTCTATCTCCAAAAAAAGAGACAAAGAAGGTGAGGAGACGCTAAGGAGAAAACAAAGAAAAAGACAACATAATGAAAACAAGCAGTGATTGGAGGAAATCCTTCAAAATGCAATGACATCTCATTCAATCAGAATTAGTATACATACTTTAACACTCAAGAGGTTTTACCATTGTGGATATTCCCTCCATTGGTGCAGAATTCAATTCTGTAATGCCTTAATAAATGGTTTCAAGGTCTGCTACGTTAAAAAAAAAAAAATTCAGTCCCTAGTGACCAACTCTCTCCAAGTTTAGCTAGATTTGACCTTGGATGAAAGTCTATTGCCAGGAATGTACTTCATCTTGTTAGGACTTGCCAGAGTTAGTGTCCCGCTGGCATAGTTTTCAAGAACTCAGGTTCACCAGGGCACTTGAGTGGGATAATAATGGAGGAATTATTGAATGATTTGGACCTTTATGAGAATGCCTATAGGATTAGGAAGGTAATATTTCAGTCCCATTGTTATTAGTCAAATCAACATTCAATGAATGATCTTCAAATAAGTATGAATAATCATGGAAAAGCCATTTCAATAAATCTTTATTGAGCAAATACTATGTGATAAGCCTTCAGTTAAATACGGTGAGCATGCTTTTTAAAAGTGTCATTCTTTTTTTCAAGATGATTATAATCTGGTTGGGTAGACTGACTTCACAATTAAAATTTAGAATTCAAAGAGTTCGTATCCCCAGAGCTTAGTTCTCATTCATTAATAGAAGTGAAAGCTTCCACAGGACCCAGAGCAAGGTTTCATGGAATAAGAGAGATTTCAAAAAGAACTGGAAGAACAGGTAGGATGAAAACAGAATGCAAGCTCCTTGAGGGCAGGGACTACTTTATTTTTATGTATCCTCCATGCCTATCACAGTGCTTTGCATGTAGTAGGTGCTTAATAAAGTTGTATCTGATTGAACTGATAGGCGGAGACCACTGGAAAGGACATTTCATATGAAGAGAACATATAATCAGAGGATCTTAGGGTTTTAGAACTGGAATGGGAACTTAAAGATCATCAAGAAAAGGCTGATTCCTGGTCAGATTGAACTAGAGGACCCTTCTAACTCTGAGTTTTTGACGTATCATCTACTGTAAAAGCTCCCTCTCATTTGCTTTTCTTTTTTTTTTTTTACAAATGAGGAAACTGAGTCCCCAAGAGGTGAAATAACTTGCCCAATGTCACACAAGTGATAGAGTCAATGAAGTTAAGTTTATTGCCCTTTCTATTTTCCCTTCATCACTACCCCCTTTCCAGTTCTAGTTCCTGGGAACCATAAACAATTCAACATTACCATTACTTCTGGAAACTATGTTAATCAACACACTTATGACTCCATTCACCATCTCTGACTTTCCAGATCAAAACAGCCTTTCCTATCTACCACTCCCCATATATGCAATCTCCCTCTGTTAGAATGGAAGCTCATTTCTCCATATATTGAGAAGTTTAATTTACTTTTTTTCTTTCTTTTCAATAATGATGATAAATATAAGAATAGCTAGTATTTACATAACACTTTAAGGTTTGCAAATATTATCTCATTTTATCCTCATAACAACCCTAGGAGGTAGGTGATATTATTATTATTCCCATTTTACAGATGGAAAAACTGAGACAAACAGAAGTTAAATGACTTGCCTGGGGTTACACAGCTAATAAGTGTCTGAGATCGGGTTTAGACTCAGATCTTTCTGTTTCCACGTGTATCATTCCCTCCACTACTCCACCAGCTACCAAAATTCATTATCTTTCTCTTCGAGGGAATGGGAGAAGTGATATAATGGCAAATGTAGGCAACATAAAAGCAAAAGATATCAGTAAAATCAACAATTTTTCTTTAAAGAATATCAGTTCCTTGAAAGTAAGGAAAGTCTCTCCCTAATACTTTGCATAGTACTTGGCATCTAGTAATGGCATAGTAAATGCTTTTCACTTGTTTATTTATTCATCTATTCATTTTGACAGAGTGGGGGAGAACTGTAGGTTATTAGTAAAGGCATTATTATCTCCATTTTATAGATGAGAAAACAGAAAGTAGAACGGTTAAGGGACTTACAAATAGTTAAAAGCTAGTAGGTGTCAGATTTGAACCCAGGTTTCTCCTGATTGCCTAGACTTTTTCCCACTGCAACATTGCTAGTAGACATTGTTTAATTAGTCCTTTTCACCTACCTGTCCTTTCCACCTTCCTCTTTTTTAAATTTCTTCTTTAAATTATAAACTTCTCAAGGAGAGAAGAGTCCACATTAAACCAAAATTCTCTAAGCTCCCTGTCTCCTTGGACAACAGTATGTAACTATGTCCATGAAATATATATGTGCAAAGAAAGGTAAATCTGTTGTTACTGTAAAGTGATTATAAATTGATGGTGAGATCCACAATTCCAAGCACAAGAAGGAAGAACACGCTATCAGCTTTTTTTTTATCTTGATGCCAATGACTCAGTGATTGCAAATGATTCATAGAAGCTACTCCAAAACCACTATTTCCCCCACAAAAGTCATGTACGTCATATTTAAGGAAATAATGTTGACGATATACTGGCATCCATGTCACCCACAGCAACTACAAGAAGCATATACCCATTTAGCTCCGCTGAATAAGCCTGAAAAACTGTCACTTATATCTAACAGAAACACACTTTGTACTCTGTTTCAAAGTTTTACAGGTCAGGGAGGGCAGTGAAGTTTAGGGAGCAACAGCTAGTTTTTCTAGATGTCATACTAATTAATTTTTCTTTGACTCCACAAGTGAAAAACACTGAATTTTAAATGGAAAAATTCTCAAAAAATCTTTCTACAATTCAAAAGTACCTGCTATGTGCCATGTGCTGTTTGAGAGACTAGGCTTCACAGAGATAGGAAAAAGGTCCTACTTTCAAAGTGTTTGTTTCCAATCTAACCAGGAGAAAAGGAGCAGGTAAAACATACACAGATTACTTAGAATACAAGGGAGAATGAGACCAGCACACAGGACAGGCCCAGGACAGAGGGGCTGCACTAAGGAGGTGGCAGCTGAACTCAAATGAATTCAGTAACTATTGACAAGTCACGTATTAAACACTAGACCTGTGCTATGTGTGGGGGATATTCAGACAAAAAACTGATGTTGTCATCACCCTCAAGAAACTTACTTTCTTATGGAGCTAGGCCTTGAAAAAAGGGGAGAACCTCAACACCTGGAGAAGCAAAAAGGAGAGTCATTCGAAGGATGAGATGTTGTGAACAAAGGTACCAAGATGGTGGATAAGATGAGAATTAATGATGCAATGTCATTCTATTGGATGAAATTTAGATTCTATAAAAAGGTGAGACACATGAACTTAAGGCTTTAAAGGGATGATAGAGCCAAATGGTGGAAGGCCTTGAACCCCAGGACCAGGAGTTTATACTTTATCATGTAAACAAAGCAGAGTCAATAAAAGGTTTTGGTTAGAGAAGGGGCATGATCATAGGTTCAGAGTTAGAACTGGAGAGTCCATGAATCCAACCCCTTCTGTGCACAGATGAGGAAACTGAGACAAATAGAGGTTAAGTGACTCATCCATGGTCACACAGCTAGTTTGTGACTGGATATGAACTCAGGTCTTCTGTAGTTCAGGCCTAGGGCTCTAATCATTGTGCCACCTAGCTGAGAAACTAAGGCACAGAAAAGTAACTTGCATAAGGACATACAGTAATAGCAAATGGCAAAATCAGGATTTGAATCCAGGACCTCTGTCTCCAAATCCAACATTCTTTATGCTGCACCAAGGTATTTCCCTACCTTTATCTCTCCAAAGTCTTCATCACTACTGTTAATAATTTGCCAGAGGTTATTACTGGCATGAAAGGCAGTGGGGTAGTGGATAAATGGCTGAAATTATGTCAAGAAGTGAGTTCAAATCCTGTTTCCTATACACGCTAGCTGGATGATCCTGGGCAAGTCACTTAACCTCTTAGTGTCTAAATAACCAGGCAATTATACAAATGAGTTGCCATTCTGTGTCACTGGAGGAAGATTTCTCACTGGAGCTTCCCCACACTGATGACACCATAGACCTCAACCAAAAGATAATAATAATAATAATAATAATAATAATAATAAACCTGATATAAAATCATCATATTAACTCCTAAATCACATACAAAGTATTTTTCAGTAAGCAATTTACTTATAATGCCATTCACCTGTCTTTGAAATCTAGCTCCCTTAAAGGATGGTTCTAAGCCTGCGACCCTCAAACTAGGAATTGTTCCCTGATGGTAAAAGAAGGCTAACAATAGAACCCACTTCAGGAGCAAATGAAATAATGAATGTGTGAACTACCGCTGTGTAAATGGGGGTTGGTTTTGTTATTGACAGAGAATCGCAAACTACCACATTTTCAATAGCTGTTTTGCAATGACAATGGGGAGGAGGGCAGAATATTAATTTGATGTGTTTTTTTAAAATTTTCTTTCAGCAGAGAATCTAGAAAAGCCTTTTGGAAGATAACAAGTTTCAGAAAATTTTTTTCTAAGCCAGTTCATTTTTGTCCTAACTCTTTCTTTCTCTTTTCTAGCATTCAGTTGTGTTGGATAAAACTGGTGATGCTCAGCAGTTCATTAATATTCTAGGGACTAAGTCACTCCCTGCATCTGAGTCAGTCACTCAAGGCTCATTAGCTCTATTAGCCCAATTTTTTTGTTGTTCAGTAATTTCAGTTGTGTCTGATTCCTTGTGACCCCATTTGAAGTTTGCTTGGCAGAGACGCCGGAATGGTTTGCCATTTCCTTTTCCAGTTCATTTTACAGAGGATAAACTGAGGCAAATAGTGTAAAGTGACTTGCTCAGGGGTCACACAGCTAGTAAGTGTCTGAGTCCAGATTTGAACTCAGGAAGATGAGTCTTCCTGACTCCAGGCCCAGCACTCTATCCACTGGGCCACCTGGCTGCTGCCCCTAGGAGATCATTACCATTCCTGTAAGTACAAGAAGCAGCATTGGTTCAAATGACATCCCCATAGATAATTTTAACAGTTCAATACCTGGTTTGCAGTCTCTTTTTCCATCCCAACCATATCCTTATGCTAGGGAACATTAACAAATGTGCAACAGGCACAACATTATTAGGCTTGTTAATTGCCTGGCCTCAAATTGTATACCTCCCCAAGGGCTTCACTGACTACCAAAAGTTTTAATCCTGCTTCAGACAGATCTTGGGCAAATCACCTAACCTGTCTCAGCCTCAGTTTTCTCATCTATAAAAGGGGAATAAGAATAGCTCCTATTTCACAGGGTCGTTGTGAAGAACAAATGAAATAGATATAGCACTTTGCAGATTTTAAAGTGCTACATAAATGATCATCATCATTAACATTATTATCATTAAGAACACAGAGCTGACGGCGATTTGAATAGTTGCATTTGTCTTCTTCTGGCCATACTCCCTATATCAACTTGATTTTAAGCAACAGCCGGCATGCTGGCTAAACAGACCTAGCCACAGAGATGTGCGTCAAACCACTGTCTGACTTGCTGCGCTTGGCTTCCTATGTCTGCGACACGGATGAGCTGTCCCCCACCTACACTGGTTAAGGATTTCAAGAGAGCTCTATTTTAATCACAGCAGTGTGATGTTACTGAGCCGCATCTTCCTTCCCTCCTTTGCCATCTGAAGGCATAACTCTGGTTTACTGTACCAAGGCATCAAAACAAGCTATTCAGTATGCAGGTCCAAATAACAAGCCCCTTCTCTCACACCTTGGATATCACTATAGTGTAAGCCTCTGGAAGGAATTATTTAGAGGGCAAGAGACAAGGAGAAATTGTGTTCTGCGTTTTACAGAATCACAGAATTTCAGAGTGGGCAGGGACTGAGTCCACCTGGTTTCCAACATTCTGGATAAGGGAGGGGCCATCCAGACTTTGTTTTAAAAGCTTCCAATGAAGGGAAACTCCCTAACTCCTTCAAAGCATCTATCCCATTGTACAAGATAATTTTAGCTGTTACAATGTCTTTCTTGATATCAAGCCTCCCACCTGCTATTGCTAAATCTGCCTTCTGCAGGCACTACACTTATCTATGTAATTACTGCACAAAATCATAACACTAGTACTTCAGGCTCAATGTATAACCTTGTTTTAAGGAATGGGTAGGCATAAGGCCAGACCAGTCAGAAATGCATATACCCTGGTATTTTAGGGGCACACGGCTGCACATATGTGGTACCCTGTAGGTTTTATGGATTCATAGACTCAGAAAGTCAAAGGGAAGCCATCTTTTGCAGTTCCCCTACTTTATGTGAATGAGAAAACTAAAAACATGAGGACTAAAGGGACTTACAGTGCAAGGTATGTGTGGCGGAAGGAAGATGAGCAGAATCAAAAAAAGGAAGTGTAAACTGGCTAACAGAGATGAATGAGAATGCATGGCCAAGACTCCTGAGAACTCTAGGGTATGCCTGGAAAACTGAAGATTCTTTATTCATGAGATTAACTAATTGAAGCATAAATGGTTACTAAAGGAAGTTTGGTTGGCTGTATTTGATGTTCAGTGTTAATCTTTTAATCAAACAAACAAATAAATAAATAGATAAATAAATAAAGAGGCAGACAACTTGCCTTGAGACTTGGAGAGAGAGGAAATTCTTGGCTAACCACCAACATGAGCCTTACAGCTCAGTCAAGCACATTTAGAAAAGGGGCTCTTGACCTACCAGGCCATTCTGACCTAGCAGCTGACTTGTGGTGCAGGTGGTTGCCTGAGAAGGCTAGAGACATCAAAACGTGCGATCCACAGTTGTGAGTTTTCCCAGGGACCCATAAGTTTCTCCATTCAAGTCCATTCCTCCTAAATTTACATTCTGCAAATTTGTACTCACTCTTCTCCACAATACCATATGCGTTGATTCAGAGACATGAGTGGATTACGATGCTGCCATTACTCTGGCTTTGTGATCTATTCAGTAAATGTTTCATCCTACATTTAGCTTGCTCCTATATGTTTGTTTGCATATTGTCTCCTCAATTAGATTGTAAGTTCCTTGAGGGCAGGGACTGTCTTTTGCCTCTTTCTGTATCCTCAGCACTTAGCACAGTGTGCTGCACACAGTAGGCACTCAATAAATGTTTATCGATTGATTGACTGAAGAATTTTAAAAAATAAACACCTAAGTGAGGTACTACTCAAGCCAGACACAAGCATCAGTAAAAACAATACTTTTTAAACTATATTACATTTAATATATTCCTCTTGTTCTTGTTTGCCTGCTTTTGCCCAGGGCTGGTCTTGTCTGATAATATTTGTGGTGAGGTAAATATTAAGATCATGTATCAAAAGAATTATTTCTACATGACTAGAACGTGCAAAATTAAAAAGAAGGTTGCAATTCCACGTCAATTTTCCAAAACTATGTTGGTTTTGTAAGATGAAAGAACAAAGGGCGGGAATTAGAACTGTACATAACAAGACACTCTATATTACTGTAATTTCCTTTCTAATTTCCTTTTCTTCCACTGATAAAATTCGGATGCTGTGAAATCCCCAAGGAAAATGAATATTCTCTAAATTTTGAATTTCTGAATGATGGTAGGATCAGCAGTATGACCTGCACTCAAGAAATCTTTGTTGATTTCAGATGGGAGTTTTGTGAAACTAACTTAGTGGAAACCTCTCCTGTCAATCACAATTATTCTGCTAGGTTGTCTTGCTAAATTCTTCTCTGGGAATTTACTTCAGGCCAGGTGTTGGGGTGGTGGGTAGGATCATGGGAGAGCTGTTGGGAGAGTTTGTTGGGTGATGTCTATTATGTCAAAATAAGATCTATCAACAAAGAAGAAAAATGAATAAGGATAATAAAGGTTTGTTTCAATGTACCAAGACCCACCCGCAACACTTTTAATATACAGATAAAAATCAGTCACAATAGGTCAATTTCTGGGACTCAAACAAGACAAATAAAACTCACTTCAACATTTATTAGACTCCTCTTCCTCCATCACTTACCTGAGTCCCAAGCCCTTTTTCCAATGAGAAGGAAAGTTAAGACTATAACTGAGTAAGAACTTCCCCCAACCCCCAGTGGACTCCAGCTTCCCTTAGCTGGAAACAAAATAAAACTAAAACCAGGAAATGTTTGTGATAGGTTACTGTCATCCCTTTACAAGTCATACAATTTTATAGTTGAAAAGAATATTAGAACTTACATAGTTCCTTCATTTTTTTCTTTTTTTTAAGATAGTTTCTTCATTTTACAGTTGTGGAAACTAAGCTTGTGTCTACTCAAGGTCCAACAGGCTTTAATGGCAGAGTTGGGATTTGAATCCGGACTTCATTTTCCAAATTCCCTGACTTTTCTGCTGCAAATTTCATGATCTATTCAGTGATCAGTCATTAGGCCTTGCAGTGTTCACAATGAGCATAAGCAAATATCCCATCATGAAGACAACTGCAGCTTACATGCCAACATATGTTCACAGGGAAAAGAAAAAGTCTTTAGGTTTATAAGTTCAGCATCCAAGTAGCCACTTGTTACTGTTTAGGCCCTTTGATATATTTAGAGTCACAGGCAAAGACCATTATGGCTAGATAGAGCCTCAGAGAGAACATTTCAGTGAAATTGCTTCATTTTACTGATTAGGGGCATAAAAAAGAGAGAAAGCCTCCTGGAGTCGAAGTGCTAGTCTGCCTTCCTTCTCCTTTTCAAAAGTAGTGGTTGAGAAATCAACCAAAAGGTTTTTCCCAGTGATTTTTTTCTCCTCTTTGTTCCTCTTGCCAGGAAGGTTTATACTTCTTCAGATCTTTTATTATTTGTGTAAATTATATATTTCAAGTATTTTAGAAATAATTCCTTAGGGCCCTCTTTTTCCATGTTTCTAAATAGTGCTGATTTGGACAGGAGTTGTTTTCTACTTAGCGCTAAAGAAAATCTCCGTAGGCTAGACGAGTAATTTTACTTTAGTTTAATTTTCTTGCTTAATCACAGAGTTATTAACCCTAAAAGACTTTCATGTGCTATGTTCCATCACTTAGCAGTGATATGCTATTTCTTCCAGCCCATAGTCCCTTGAATAAGTCTATTCAGAGATTTATATTAGCTTGATCTCCAGTTTCTAAGGGAAAAAAATAGAACTCCATATTCTAGACTACATATTCATTGGTTTGCTATGCCTAAAATCATAGTTTAATGAAGTTTGAAGAATTGACCTCTAGACATTGTAGTTATTGCTGTTTGGAGGTAGAGAGGTTGGCCAAAACATACAATTTTTCCCAAGGAAGGTACCATACAATATCTTTACTGTAAAACATACATAACCCCTTACAAGCTCTATTAAAAGCAACTAAAATAAAATCAACATCTAAGCATTTTTAATGAAACTGAGCCTCTTCTATAAAATCTAGTGCTTTTTTGCAAATTATCTATTAAATATGCTTTTATAGAAATCAAGGACACATTATATAACTGAAAACATTTCATTTCATCAATATCCCAATAACTTGGTATTTTGCTGAAAAGCATCCCACTTCTGACACCCCATTCTTTTGCAAGCATAATGAAAAAAATTTTAATTTTTTAAAAATTTCATACTCTTGCATTCTGCTTTTTCATTGATCTTCCAATCACTCACCTGTCTAGAATTCTAAAATGATCCTCTGGTTATATTCCTCTTTGGGATAGTCCAAGCAAACTCATCATCAATTTCATCCTGTCAACAAGATGTGAATTAAAATAGGGTCACAGAAAAAGACAACCGAAACACTAAAATTGTCTAAAAGTAAATCGCTGAATTACCACTTCCTATTTGGAAGTGACGCCTTTCTAGACCCAGGGTGAATGTTTAACCATGCGTGTCCTGTAGCTTGCAAAATTACACATAAACTGTGCAGTTCTTGGTCTTCATGAACATTTAGGGAAAAATGTTTGTAGTGAGTGAGATGGGTGGAAAGATGATATGAACTAGACATTTCACTCAGGCCAAGAACATCTTTCCCTGTATACTAAAATTCACTGGAATCCATTAAAATTAGGGAAAATATGCCCATTTTAAAACTTAACAATGGCCATTTCCCCCTCAAGGTTGTAGAATCTCTGGATTGGAAAGAAAGAAATTCTTTTGGCCTTTCTTTTCTAATGGAATGACTGCCAGATTTGCAGTCAGAAAACCCAAATTCCAGTTCCAGGCTACTATTTCCTAGCTGGCTGGCCCTAGACAAGTCAATATATTTTGCTGAGTTTTGACTTCTTTATCTACAAAATGGAGATGATAATGCTTTTACTACCTGCCTCACAGGGTTGTCATAAGGATTAAATGAGATAATGGGTGTAAAACTCTGCCACCTTAAAGCACTCCAGGTACATACACATAAGCTACTTGCGTTGTAGTAGGAAGAGCACTACAATTGAGGTCAAAAGATTTCAATTCAAGAGACCATTGTCTAGTGATAGCAATATTGTTTTATTGGGGCAGCTAGGTGGTACAGTGGATAGAGCACTGGCCCTGAAGTCAGGAGGACCTGAGTTCAAATCTGGATTCAGACCAAGCACTTACTAGCTGTGTGACCCTAGGCAAGTTACTTAACTCTAATTGCCTTAAAAAAAAAAAACACTTTGAGTGAATGAGTCATTTTGACTATTATAAATACTCAAATTAACTACAAAGGACATATGAAGGAAGACACTATCTGCAAGAAGGAGAAGGAATTGATGAACAGATGTATAGAATAGTTTTACATATCTATATATGTATACATATTTGTGTCTAATGGTAGCAATCTGTAGGGCAGAGGAGAGGAGAAGGGAAGAAAAAAAGGAAAAAATTACATGTGAATTATACTTAAAAGGAATAGCAAATTGTATATAATAGATTTGAAATTTCATGTGGAATCGCCTTTTTCATTATATTACTCTAGGGAAATGCTTGCTTAATTCCATAAATTAAAAATTAAATAAACATTTTTAAAAAAAGACTTGGATTCAAATTCTAATTCCAGGACTTCTTAACTATGTGAATTTGGTAAATCAGTCTCTTTGAGTATCAGTTTTTGAATCTGTAAAATAATACTTGTACTGTTTATAGTCCTTCTTAACTTTGTGTGTGTGTGTGTGTGTGTGTGTGTGTGTGTGTGTGTGTATGTGTGTGTATGTGAGAGAGAGATGGACCCCTTTGGCAATCTAGCGAAGCCTATGGATCCCTTCCTAGATGAATGTTTTTTAATGTATAAAATACACAAGATTATAAGGAAAATCAATTATATTGAAATACAGTTATCAAAATGCCTTTTTGAAAAACAAGTTCACAGAGCCTCAGGTTAAGAACATTCACCTTACAGTATGGTTGTAAGGAAAGTGCTTTGCAAACTGAAAAGTGCTGAATCAGTATGAGCTATCATTATTGCCTACTGCCTCTTTCAGTCCCAACACATACACACACACACACACACACACACACACACACACACACACACCCACACATAGGATAAAATAAGAGTGGGTCAATTGACCCTAGTAGTTGATTACCTTTTTTTTTAATTTTTGAAACTATAGTCATGCACCATAGTTTTATTATTATTAGAAGAGTAGAATAATAATAGCTAGCATTTACATATGTACATATATAATGTGTGTATATATATTATATATATATAATATATACATAATATATATATCATATATATATATATACACTATATATATATATATATATATATATATCACTTTAAGGTTTGCAAAGCATTTTGTACATTTTAGTTTATTTTAGTCTCACAACAATCCTGTGTCATAAGCACTTTTATCATTCCCCCTTTTAGATAAGTGGAAACTGAGTCAGACAGAGGTTAAATGACTTGTCCGGGGTCACAGAATTTGAACTCATGTCTTCCTGATTCCATATCCACTGAGCCACTTGGCTAGCGACAATATTACTGACCTTCCAACTATGGAACATGTGGTTCAAATCATTTACCTAGCTGAGATGCTGAGTTTCCACTTAACCAACCACACTCTTTTTTTGAGTCCTGAGGAAAGAATGTCATGCTTCTGAAAGCTGATTGGTCAGGGTTAGAGATGTCATCTGGGACCTCTCGGCAGAGTTTTTTCAATATGTAAAGCTAGCTAGCCGGCCCATGTGAGGATCATCTGACAAACCTTGGTGCACCATGCTCTAACCACTTGTGTAACTAGGTACCAGAATTGTAGAGGTGTTAGCCACAATAGAAATAAAACCTGTGGGCCAACGTCCCTCAAGATACCCAACGGCGTGTAACCAAGGGGAAGAAAATGAAAGTCAGATTCAAAAATGAGATGCGGCTATCCTGTCAAAATTTCAGATTTAACGATAGCTATTACATACATTTTTACTTACAGAATTTAATGCTCCTAGGATTCCTAGGTGTGTAGGATAGAAGAGTCTCTTCCAAACTACATAGCCTTCACAATCTTCCTTATCCCTGTCGGGCCTCAATGGAGGGGAGAATGTGAAGCCAAAGAAGTGTTTCTACTTATTAATCTTGACTTCATAGTGGGGACCCGAAGGAGGAGAAACTGAGTGTGTAATATGGAGAATACAAGACTATATGTATTCTCCATCCTAATTCCAAATGCAATCCTTGTGGGTTATGCTCACCATGGACTATACAACATATTTGCCTATGAGAAGCATCAGAGTTCAGGTGTGGCCTGTGGGTCTCTCTTCCCTACTCTCCCCTCCCCTCCCCACCTCCTCAGCCCACATGAGCCAGGATGGCCAATGTATACGACTCAAACCTGATGGGCCATCATTCCGCTAGTGGGAAATAGGAAAAGGAGAGGCAGATAAGCTACAATCCACAAGTGAATAACAAACATTGAGGGACACAAGATTTTGCTTCAATAATACCTAGAGAGAGATAGTTTAAGGTACAGGACAGCAATCCATGGCATTGGTACCAAATATGCCACACAAGATTCAATTTGACTATCATTTATTTTAATTATAGTATTATACTATCTATGCTATACACTGTTCATACTGCTGTGACAAGCAGAATGGCATAGAGGACAAAGTAGTAAATAAGTCAAGTCTTCTGACACTTTCTAGCCATATGACCCTGGGCAAGTCACTAAACCCTGTTTGCCTCAGTTTCCTCACCTGTAAAATCGGATGGAGAAGGAAGTGGCAAACAATTTAAGTATCTTTGCCAAGAAAATCCCAAATTGGGTCACAAAGAGCCAGACATGACTGAAATGATTGAACAACAACAAAATATATATGTAAGGTATAGAGAGGATACATTGATCTCCATGGATGGAAGGAGTTCCTATACCAAAAAAGTCATAGATCCCTGACATACTGATGTATGTTCAAGGCACTGCACTTGACAATTTTAAGGTCTAGAATGATAGCTAAACACAGGCAAAATGTGAGGTTTATTATGAGGGTCCTCCCATTTCCCTTTAAGTACAGGTCCTTCTTCCTGGAGTTTCTTCTACCCCCAACACACATACACACACACACACACACACACACACACACAGAGACATCCATCATTTATTTGTTCCTTTCAGCTGGCTATGAACTAATCCCTACTAATGTATTTTCTGAAAATTAAGGTGACAAACTTGATAACAGCTTCAATTCAATTGGAAGTATTTTCATTTTAAAAGGATTCACCCAAGAATCACGAAATCATGTAATGCTATAGCTGGAAGGAATTTTGGAGATGATTTAGTCCGACCCTTGCATTTTACAGATGATGAAACTCCTGTTTAGGGAGGTTAAGGGACCTGAGCTTAGTCACACAGTAAGGAATAAAGCTTTAACTTGAACTCAGGTTAAATGTACCAAGGAACAGTTACATATCTCCAGAACATAGTTTGGCTCCCTATAATGAGAGAATGTGGGGCTTGTACAGAGGAAAAAACATGTATTTGGAGAAGGGACTTGGGTTAGAATCCTGTCTCTGTCATAGACAATCAAGTCTAGACTACCTTGTGACTTTGGACAAGTCACTTATCTTTTCTGGGACTCAGTTTCCTCATCTGAATAATAAAGGGTTTAGACCAAATGCCTTCTAAAATTCCTCCCAGGACCAAATCTGTGATCACATGATGCTATAACTAGGGAAAAAAAAGCCACTCTGTTCTTCTAGTTATCAAGAAGAATTAAATGTCACTTGAAAATATGGAAGAAATGCTTTAAAAAGGAAACAAAAAAAGAAGAAAGATTGAAGATTCAAAAGGGGATCCTCACCTATATCAGGAGATTGAAAGATGGAAAATCATGGCACCAACTTACTCTCTCAGCATTATCTCACATTATTTGCATTTGTTCCTTCATTCGAAAAGCATTTAGTGGGGGAAGAAGGAAAGAAGGATCATTAAACCTTTGTAGTTATAGACTAAGTGTAAGTTCCTTCCAAAAGAGAGTGGATATGGACTCTCTAAGGATAAAGTAGCTTCTGGTTCTTTAAGGGATGATAAAGAGTTTACCCAATACTCATAAAAGAAAGAAGAGATGGGTAGGCGACTCTCTGCCAGTACACTCAAAAGACCACGGATCAGCCACATGTCAGTGTTGCATGAGCGTAAAGAGGTGTATGTTCTTCTTGGGGGATGTATCTGGAATATGACAGGTAGCTTCCCGAGACTTGTCAGACTTAGAGACCACTATTCACTTCCAGTGATTCATGTGAGGACCAATTACACCACAAAAAGAAGCCTAGAAAGCAA